TAACCCGAACTCAATACCTCGAAACGTTTTGGATTAGAATCGGATAGTGTTTGGGTCCGAATGACTTCAAACCCATGTCCGTTTGTTGCTAGGGTTTTATACATTATGTTCTCTATAAAAGGAGGAGCCTAAGAGCTTAATAGGGCTGGCCGTTCTCACACATACATGAGACAAAACATAATTTGAGAAAACCCTTTTTGGATGCTAGTACATTGAGCAAGTCTGATTCGATCGTGTGTGCACACCGTAGAGGCGTGGTACTTTCTACGCTAAAACGACATATACAAGTGCTAAGACCTAGGTTTCCATTGATCCATCAAAAGGTATGGTTTCATACGAACTTATAATGATTAGTTTCTTGATTTATTGCAAACTATATTGCTTATTAGCAATTGAAATTCATGGAATAGTATAGATCCTTTTGTAAATGTTTTGCTTCGTATCAAGCATGAGATGCATGTTCGTAGCTCGTTTCCCAACACTTTTGTATTAATCTAAATCACTCTTCTGTCCTTGAACTATCTCCAATTTTTATTTTTCGTCCGTACCAAAATAATCTTCATTTTCTGGCAAATAATTTGTGATCCACGGTAATTGTTACTAATTCTTATACTTCGTACATTTTTTTCTCCTCTACACAACTCTATAGTACACAATATCCAGTATCTAATTCGAGTACCAAATATACAATACTTTGGAAGGTAATTTAAGTACGAAGGGAGTAATATATTAAATGTAAAAAAGTATGGAACAATTTTTTGTTGAATGTGGGAATAATTTCTATTAATGTTAAAAGCTCTCAAGATGACTATAATTATTTTCCTTACAACATGAGCACTAAGGATGTTTTCTTTTGGACTATTTTCAGTCTCAGATTAGACCAGATCAGATCAGATAATATTTCCCTAGTTATAAAATACACAGAGATTAGACGTTTACCAGACCAAACAAGACCAGTTCAGACAAGACCAGATTAGACCAGACCAACAAATTTCAGTCCAAAAGAAAACATGGTAACCCTTTAATTATGAGGTAAGTGTCGGTTTGGTCCTAGAAGTTGCATAAAAGGGGACAAATAAGTCCTTATGACGTCCTTATTGTCCGGCCATCGCCATTTGGGGCAGTTCCCGGTGAAATTTTTTGATGAAATTGTTTGAGAATCTTATTCATTAAGTCTAGTTTACTCATACCAAATTTTATCTAAAACTTAAATCGGGAAGACATTCAAATGAAGTCTTGAAGATAAATGCGCTTTTAATTGCCAAGTTACCTTCAAGACTTCATTTGAATGCCTTCCCGATTGACGTTTTATCTGAAACTTTGTATGAGTAAACTAGACTTAATGAATAAGATGTTCAAAACATTTTATCAAAAAATTCCACCAGGAACCGCCCCAAATGGCGACGACCGGACAGTAAGAACGTTATAATGACTTATTTGACCCCTTTTATGCAACTTCAAGGATCAAACTCATCCTTACCTCCTTTAATTATGCAAAGAGACCAGCTCGGACTGATCAAATGACACAACTCTTTTGTAGTTATATATAGAAGTATATTTTTTAAAAATTAATTTGACACGATATATATAATCAGATTGAGCATTAATTCATGTCACTCAACTACTCAAGTCATTTTTATAGTTATATGTGTAGGGTATATTTTCTATACATTAATTTATTTCACACCACCTATATAAATGGAATGAGGGTCAAAGTCTAAATGTATATGAAATTAATTACTCACTTATGATTAAAATAAAGTTTATTTATAAAAATGTGACAACTTAAATGTAGTGACTACACTATTAACTTTAGTCATACGTAGTATATAATAAAGTAAATTACCTAAAATATGAGCAAATGACACTTGGAATTCCAAAAATATGACTAGTATGTTTTTCTTCCTGAAATAGGAGTTATTATTGTCATGCATGATAAATACTGTCATGATTGAAAAACACTGTCATTAATTATAATAAATATTGTCATGTTAAATGCATGGTACTGCAACTATTTGGCAGTCACGACTACAACATGACAATAAATATTGTCATGTTAGTCCCATTTAGGAAAAAAAACAAAGTAGTCCTATTTTGGAATTTCAAACTTCATTTACTCCTATTTTGGGAAATCTCCCTATTATAAATCAAGTTCAATTTTTACACTTAAATGACCGTGATATTATACTATAGTAACTTTTAGTTATATTTTTATAAATAAGTTTTCAAATAACCTCTAATTAAATAGATTTTTTCAACTAAATAAAGTTACATGTAATAAAATCTAGTCATGGTTAATACCTTTTATTCATTTTCAATTAATGATGCACTAGAACATTTACTCAAAACAAAGATAACAATTCTTAAATTTAAAAATTGATTAAAAAATATTATTAGCGCCATATAAAAATGAAGAATTGCTAGATTATCATACAAAATTTGACTCTAAATTTAAGTAAGTATAATGTATAACATTAAAAACTAGATAGTATGTCATTCTTCAATATGAGAACTATCTAGTATCTACTCAAGTTATACTTACTGAATTTATTATCGTAGTGTTACATTGTTTTTTTTTTTTGAAATTAGTGTTACACTGTTCTTAGCTACCATAAAAATTGTTATCGATATAGTCATTGAAAGTACCAGAGATTAGAAAATTACACAATATGTTATTAAAGGGGACGTAATTTTAGATAATACTAAATCTGTCTACAATTAACAATAATAATAATATAAAAATAATTAATTCATACCCAACATTTCATATATTGTTGGAACATAATGTTTTGTTGATGACAAACAACTGGTGTTACTTTTGGTCTATAAGTGATTGCAAGAAAGGTGGTCTAACTCGTGGTTGGGAACAAGCCGTAGACCTGGACCTAGAACTGTCTGACAGATCCAATGTTTGAATATATTGACTTGCTTGAAAATGTCTTTTGTCTCCATTAAAGTTCGATTTTGTCTTGCTAAATTAAAGAGAATTTTTTAGTAAGGAATCAATGATCATACAAAGAAAAGATTTATTCTTTAAAGGAAAGCTATTTAAATCAAAGTCATTAGTTAAGAAATCTTTCTACCAAGCAAGTTTCCAAAATAAAAGGAGTTGTTTAAAATTCAAATTGAATTTTCGTGCATCTCCTCTCACAAGGAATGTTTCCTTAAGCAAAATATTTTCCTTCACACAAATATAAAGAATATCTTTTAGTACCTATAAGGAAATATTTTTTGAATAATTTTTATGCAAGAGGACCGAAATATATATGGAGATTCGAGCTATTAAAAGATAGTACATCACGTCCTGATCTTGTACATTTAAGAAGATCGAGCTCAAAGGAAAGAATCTGTTAAGTATGTGGTTTTGTTGATAACTAACCATGCAGGTGGAACGGCGGACAGAACCGCTCACAGTTCCTTAAGACAAAACTAATCTCAGGTCCAAATGGACATCATTATTGAGTTCATAACTAACCCTGCAGGTGGAACAAATACAAAACCAGTTCTAGTTATGTGGAATGATTTGAATTAATATGATTGCATCTATTTGATCTTCAATTAATGTGTTTTCATTATATGAGTGTTTATGCTTTGTCAAGAATATTATTTTTAAGCAAAAATATCTTTTTATGCATGACCATTCTATATGTACGTAACATGAGTCACTTATTCTCTTTCCATGCATGACTAGACACCCACCTAAGTAAAGTTGACCTTTATTGTTTAATAAGTTATGGAAATAATCAATCTTGGTCTGATTAGTTAAGTTGATCATAGCATATTTTGATGAATATCTTAAAGTATTATTAATAATGAATGATTGCATGACTCATGATTTTGGTTGACCGTAGTTCTAAATGAATATTTTATTACCATAAAAGGATGATGTGTTGCTACATAACTATATGTGGACCGATGCATGTTTATATTTGACAAGCCAATATATTACTTCCTTCGGTGCGATATTATGTATCTCAAATTGATTATCATATACATTGAGTTCGAATGTAAAGGATCCACATAGAAGGAAAGTGATTCAAATAATATCAAGGCAAGTTCCACGTTTGGCAACTCAACCATCTAAGGAAAGAAAACATCAACGGACTTGCTCCAAGCATGCATATATAAATGCCGAGATCAAGGAGAAGAAAGGTGCGCTTGAACCGAGAAGAAAATACTCAAACAAGTAGAATTATACAAGCCCCATAGAAGACCGAGAACCTGCGACAGTTCCATTAGCAATTCTATTCTTTGTAATTCAATTTCTTCTGTTGTATAGGGGTTAAGAGGAACATTTGAGAATGCTTTCCTCTGAGGGTTGGGGTGTGAAGTGAGAGCTTTATTGTAAAGCTGAGAGACTCCTTACCCACAAGGTAAGGTAGTGAGAACTCTATCTAGAGAGGCTAAAGTTGGGGTGGCTCAAGGGTAAACTAGGAAAGTTTATCTTGTAACTTGTTTAAAGGCTTTTAGAGAAGACTTTTTCAAATTCCTCCGAGGGAGGTCGAGGTTTTTTAATCCCTGTTGAGCCTAGGGATTTTTTTCTCGTTAAATCTTGATGTCCTTTAATTTCTGTTTTCCGCGCACACACAATCCCACCCCTGTGACTCAACCGGTTCATCATATATATACAAAAATATAATACATAACCATTTTTGACATCAAATTGGGTCATTATCCCCGTAGAAGCATGGTATTTAACTATCAAAAAAACTTTATTTGATAATTCGTATTGAATTTTCGATGATTAGAATGATCGAATTTAAGACCATAAAGTGATTTTGTATCATTTTTATTATATATTGGAATTTTGGGGATATAAAAAACGGAGTAGCTTTTTACATGATATCATGTCAAGTTATTTTTCGTCTTTTGAAACCAGAAAATTGACTTGAGTAATTGTAGAAAACATATAATTATCAGTAAATTTCTTTTTAATATCATGTCATGTATAGAAGTAGTATTTACTTTAAAAATTTGACGCCACTCAAATGAATAGTTGACCCGTTCCTGCAAATAAGTAGATAATAGCAACGGTGTTCAATGAAACTTATTGTGACTATACAAATCCTCATAGTTCTAGCTGAATTAAGTGAGATTCTTGTCACTTAACAAAACAAAAAATCAGTCTTTAAGTAAAGGAATCAAATGAAAACAATGACGAAAAAATGTAACTAAACGTGTAAAACAAACTTCATCATTTGGAAACTTTGATCTTGATGGGGCCCCGAGTCCTCCATGTCATTAGAACTTCTCTTTGTAACTTCGCCCCCTCATCTTCCCCAGCTTTGCTGGTCACACCGAATTTCGCCTTGCACGTAATGGAGGAATTCCCCTTAGAGACCAATGACTTGTCCCATATTCCCATTTTATCTCGTCTAGGATTTGTCCATGTCCACACACTGAATGGCTTCTCAAAGTATCCTTTATCGTCTCCGATGATTGAGAATAAATTTTATCTGCATGACATATTATACCACTTAAAACAAAAACTACAGAGTTTTTCATATCTAAAATTCACCCAGAACTAGTCACCTTGACCTTCACTCATTCCACACTTTCATTCTACATTTCAAAGGATTTTTAATACTAAATGTTACTTAAATTTGCATACATGCTAGAGTATATAATTTTATACATGAAGTATATATTTTTATACATAAATAGTTACTTAAATTTGCATACATGCTAGAGTCTATATTTTTATACATTCGTTAAATATTACAGAGGAAAAGAATATATATTTTTATTGTTTGACCATGCTATCATAGTGTAAATTATGATTGTGCATAACTCTATGTTTTCCTTGCACACTTAAATTACAACACTTTGATAGCACACACCTTGTTCTGAAATCCAGTCACCATGGGTGGCATTAGGGATGGACTCGGGCCAGGTGGCCCGACCAGGAACCGGCCCGGGACCGGTACTGTTCCGGCCCGGCCCGGCCCGGTGGCCCGGTCAGTGACCGGTCCGGGTAGGCCCGGCCCGTGGGTTTTCCGGTCCGGGCTCGGGTCACCCAAAACAAGGTCCGACCCGGCCGGGCCCGGGCCCGGTTCGGGCCAAAAACTATTTTTTTTTTCAATTGTTTTTCAATTTTTGGGTTGGGCTGGGTGTTTTGTGCCATTTGGGGTGGTTTGGGGGTTGGGGGTGGGAGGGGGGTTAATTAGGAAGAGGAAAACAAAAAAAAATATAATGGGCCCGGTCCGGCCCAGCCCGGACCCGGACCGGACCCGGTGGTTACCCGGGCCGGTCCCGGGTCCATCATTTCTGACCCTCCGGCCCGCCCGGGCCTAGGCCCGCACCGGACCCGGCCCGCACCCAAGTCCATCCATAGGTGGCATTGTGGGAATAACCCCCAACCAATACTCAGAATATCCAAAACTTGAGGTATAAATCGTTTCTCAGATTTTTGTGCAAGGAGCCAAGGACCAACATAATTAAACATAACACGTGGGTTTGCTCTAGGATAGACTGGTTCTCGATATATGTGCTGTGTAGAAATGTAGAAAAGTCATAGAAGCGTGTGTAATAAGGAAACTGTCATTTGAAATAATGGTAATTGTTCCAATCATAACTTAACCTTATTATGCCACACTAGTCATGGATTCGGGCCGGGTCGGGCCCGGGCCTAGGCCCGGTCGGGCCGCCGGGTAGTATGACATGGGCCCGGGACCGGCCCGAGGGTTGGACGGGTCCGGGCCGGGCCACCCGCCCGGGTCACGGGTCGGGTCCGGTTCGGACCGGGCCGGTTAAATTTTTTTTTTATAATTTATATTTTATAGTTTATAGTTTTATACGAGTATTAAAAACAAACTTCAATTGCATTTATTTGAAATGAAATAGGAACTACATTTGAAAATTAAAACAAACTTTAACTGATAAACATTTTGAAAATTGTAATCAATCAGAACTTCCCGCACCTCCCGTTCCTTTGGCTTTGTCACATGACTCCATATGCTTGATGGCCATTCCGAATCCGCCAGAAACTCTCATGCTACATTTTTTCTCGCACCATTTGCAAATTGCGTACCACATCCCGGTCTTCGGGTCCTTCTGCTTATCAAAATTATACCGTATAATGGCATCTTGATTTTCCATCTTAACTTCTTAAGTATTAACTATAAAGTAGATATATAAATAATAAATATAATATATTGGAGAATAAGAGAATTAGAGAGTAGAGAGTTAAGAATAGAATTTAGGAAGAATTGGAGAAGAGATATGAAAAAATGTTTAAGATTAGGAGTATTTATAGGTTTTTTTACCCCCCACCCCCCCCCCCCCCCACCACCCCCCCACCCCACCAGCCAACCCCCCGGACCCCCCCTTTACCCCACCCAACGGCTATATAGCCGTTTGGGTTGTCCCCAGCCCCACCCCCAACGGCTAGTAGCCCAAGAGCCCAAACAAAAAAACAAAAAAAATTAACAATTAGACCGAACCCGGGCCCGGGCCCGACCCGGCCGGGCCGGGTCACAATAATCCAGCACCGAGCCCGTCCCGCCCCTTCCCACCGGTTCAGGTTCATACCCGGTCCTGGACCGCCCGATCGGGCCGATCCCGAGCCCGCACAGTACCGGGCCGGGCCGGGTCACGAGCCGGGTGGCCCGAACCGAATCCAACCCTATGCCACACCATACCTGATTAGTTTTCTCACATAAATTAATGCTAAACAGTTATTACAAACTTACAATGTCGCATAATCTAGAAACCGATGTGCAAGAAAAACAACAGGGCTTAATAAGACAGCATAATCCACTGCTTTGCAAAATTAGTCTTTATTATGATTACAAAAGATCAAGAATACATGAGGGTCAGACTAGTGCAGCCCTCATGAATATTACATAGTAGTATAGTACAAATGTAAACTCAAAGACAAAATGAAATTAATAGAACCCCCAGAAGTTCAAGGCAATTATATAGTTTTATATTATATACGCGCGTTGAGATACAGCCCCTTGGCTTGAGAAAATCATACACAGCTGGTCCATTTAATCTTGCTTAGGCCAGCAGCATATCAAGGCTTGTTGCGAGGAAGTTGAATCCACTGAAATTGGAGTTCTACCTCGCCACATTCCACATTTCTCAATCTGAGGCACATATCTTGTGAGACTGTACCATCTTTCCAGACTACGCACGACTCCTCGGCCAGGCAGTTTGCTCTGCATGGTTGTACTCGTGTGATCACAGTGCCACTGGGGAAGCCATCTAAGCGCATCTTCAGTGCCTCCAGAAATGGTTTAATGTCAAATTCTGCATCTCCCATTTTGTCGTCCTTGCTGAATGTGTCATGGTCGTACACTGTCTGGAAGCATGCAATCAATGAATTACCTAAGATTAAACAATGAAATATTCCCTGGTAGACGAAGGACTCAAAAAGAGTCTCACCCAACTTTTTTTTATACACAGGAAAATAAAAGAGTTTCACCCAATTATATTAGACTCTTATCATCTCGGTGACAAACCTTGTCCTGTATAACTTAAGACACAATTTACTTCTCACCAAATCAATATTACTGGACAAATAGAACTAAAAAATACGAAAAAGTAAGAAGAGTGGAACTACATGGTTGGGCAATTTTTCTACTCCACAGCCAACTATCTCCAAACGGTGAACTTTTTAAACCCAAACCCACACATAAGAGATACATATGTTCCAAAAAATCTTTGCGCATACCCTAAAAGCCAAACTATACAAGTCGATATAGAAACTCTAAGCTCTACACTCTTTGGGACGCTAACTCACTCAAATTTGGGATTTTTTTTTAATTCCTTTTTATTTTCTTTATTATTGATTTTATAAAACTTTATGAATCCTTCATCTAAGAGCTAAGAAAAGTGAATGAGCATTAGAACAAGATATATTGCTACAGGAGGTACAAAGGACCTTCCCATTTCTTTCCGTTCTGTTTCCTTTTGGTTTCATTTCCTTTTCACACCCACAAAATCTTTTCCAATGATGAGCAACACGTGACATCAGTTATATCAACAACCATACACATAAACAGCAGAAGAATTAAGGCATACTTGTACAAACGTGATTCTTTCACATTTTTTGCAATGTTGATAGAAATGTAGTCTAGGAAGAAGTTTGATGAGCAAAATAAAGACATTGGTGGGGTAGTAGTTCCTATTCTCTGATCAATCCACACGGCATAATCACTTGTAGTTACTTTCTTATAATTTACCAAAGTAACCGGTGGGCGTAGTCCAACTGGTAGCGAGAGAGTGCCACAAGGGTTAGATACCGGGTTCGAATCCCGGCAACTGTGATGAGAGGTGACTATGCTAAATGCTAGGACCTCTGCAAGTATCGAGGACAGAGCCTCACTCTCTATCTGTCAGATTGGGATTATAGTCCAACTTACCTCCTCCTAACGTACCGTCCGGTCGGGGTTGGGTGTCATCCTTTTTATAATTTACCAAAGTCGTAACAGTAAGAAAAGCTTACCAGTTTAATGGGAAGGTTAGGATCTGAAACAGTAAGTGTAAGATCTTCGTTCCATACTGGATTGACATCCTTTTCTATAACACGGGTTTTCACCTTCTGCAAGAACACATACACAAAAAGATCATTTTCATCAAATATGTGTTTCTGGTTTTCATTTGATATGCATTTCTATAATGCATGGTCTCAAAGAAATGTTCAAATTTTAGCCTCCCAAAATCTGAAAATAAAAAATCCATCAATGTAAAATATGAGCTCCTTCCCACGGGGAAGAATCTGATACATAGTACACACATTGTTTCCAGAAATGGCCACCATACATCATACCATTAGATAGATCATCACTACATTCAGATCTGAAGAGCTAAAGTAAATACTAAAGCCTAAATAACCCAATTTTGCTATGAATTCAAAGAGCGAACCTCGCCCTCCCTAAAGAAGGTGATAAAATAACACTAAGATAATCAGAATGCGCAGTTTCAACGAAGTTTGCGAGAGGAGAAGAAGAGGATGGCGGACCTGTTTGCCCATCTTGACAACAACGTAAGGATCGCTGGTGCGAACATCGCGAACGGCGAGGTTGACACCTCGTTTGATGCGGACCTTAAGAATGCCTAAGAGGTTGTCCATTACAGACAGACTTCGTCGTCGTCACAATCCCTGCCTGGCTTGTTGATGCTCTTTCTCTTCCTTCCCAGCCCCTCTGTATCTGATAATCCTCTGTGCGACAGAGATGTCAAAATCACTCTACAGGGTCGACATGTTCGCGGGACCAGGTATTGATAACCGAGTTCTTTACTACGTACTCCGTTAATTAATTAATGAAAAAGGGCGACTTGTTTAGGGGAGAGTTCCCGATCATTCATCGGTTGAGGGTTAAATATAAACCATTCTTGAGGTACACACTCTTGTACACACCTTATACACACTATGTTTGTGAATCTTTTTTTGTCTGTGAATCCGGTTGTAAAGTAGTGAGGAGTTTTGCGTTTGTATGTTCTGCCGAAGGCAGTCCCTCAGTCCCCCACATTTTTGGACTTGGAGGATTATGTTGATGTTTTGGGGAAAGTTTAACATTTTGTGATTTTTCCCGGAGGTGTCCTCCAGTCCCCCACTCCTTGAGGCACTTGTAATGTGGTGAAAAGGAATAGAGTAGTGTCTGTTTTTATCATAAGGCCGAAGGCTTGTGTTTTTCGTTTCATTTTGGGGGGATGCCTCATTAAAAACCTCATTAGGAAAACCCATGTGGGGAAAAATCCTAATGAGGGAAAAAGAGCGTACCTAAATCCCCCAATGATGAATCGAAAAGGTGAACCCTTGGTCTGAGATGAAGGACAATGTTGATGTCGAGAGGTGTCCGTGAGTTGAGGGCCTTCTTCCTGGTTTAGCTGAAGGCTGATTGTTGATATCCCGGGGATGTCGAGAGGAGTCCCTCAGTCATCGGGGCTGAGGGCGTGTTGACATAGGTGATAGCTCTTGTGTTGTCGAGGGGGGTTCCCTAGCTCTTGATAAGTTGGAGGCTGAGGGCTCCCGAGGGGTCCCGTTATTTTATGTCGGAGGCTAACCACTGATGAGGGGGTTTGAAGGTGTGTCCCCGGGGGGGGGGGGGGGGGGGGGGTCCCTGGTTCTCTACATGTTGAGGGCTAAGGGTTCCTGAGGGGTTTTCCCGTTGTGAAGCCGGGGGCTCCCCTTGATGAAGGAGTCTGAAGGAGTTAGCCTGAAGGCATGCATAGTTGTTGGTCCCGGTTGTACTGGATAGAGTCTAGAGGGGGGTGAATAGACTGTATTAGTTTTTAAATTTTTCAAGCTAAGTACCAGATTTAACAGAATAGTCTGTTCTGTTGGCAGAACAGACTGGCAGCGGATGGGGTTCTGGTAGGGAGTTCTGTTAGTAGCCTCAGGGAAGCAAAGGCAGTAGGTCTTCTGTTAACTCACAAGACAAGTTCTGCTGAACACAGATACCAAAGCTTTGGAGTTAAGCAGTTCAAATAAAAGAATGAATGTAATGCAGTAAGTAAATGACATCAGGGCTTTTTATAGTGGTTCAAGGAACAACTTGTTCCTCTAGTCCACTGTTCCACTAAGCTTGTAAAAACGCCCGTTTACAATGCCTTAGCCCTATCACTTAAGAAGCTCTCCACGTCTTCTTCAAGTGTAGATGTCTTCTTGGATGCACTTCCGGCTTCCCTAAGACTGGTCCTTTCACTGAGCTTTCCCAGAAGTATCACCACTTCACTGCTCCAGGTACTTGGATGTCCTTCTTGTGAAAGAAGATGTTCTATTTAGAACAGAGGTTCCTCCAACTTGCTTCGTTACAAAGGATTTGTATGTGATGAGCTTGAAGAGTTGAAGAACACTTGGAACTTTGCTTGAGTTGGAAATAAGGATTTTTTCAACTTCTGCCTTCTCTTGTAGAAGATGATGAAGTTTTAATCTCAAGGAGGCTTTTTGCGTTTTTAGCATTCGAATATCTTGTAAGTGCAGAGTTGTAGCAAAAGTTGTTGCAAAGTTATCCGATTGTTCTTCGTAGTGTATCTTTTATACTGAGGTTGTCTTCTCGTTGGAGGAGAAGGAGGACAACTGCATTAAATGAGCGAGCAGTTGACTTGACCAGTAGGACCCGGTAAAGTTGGCGGGTTACTATTTTGGGATAAAGTTATCCTGACATTGCGGCCAATCATTTGCATTTACTCTACAGAGTATGGAAGGCATTAAATGTGCATTTAATGCGCGCACTGTAGCTTTCCCGTTTAAGACTCCTAGCCGTTGAAGGAATCTTTCAGTTGGTTTCCCGGCTTGGTG